CAAATGTTTAAACCACTTGCCCTTGGCACAACTAGACTCCAGGGCTAAAAATCAAGGGACATGTGTATGTTGTTGGTCTGTGCAGTATTTTTAAATAATCTGAGCCATTATTTCTGGCTTTTCCTGAATCTGGAGATCTGGCTGCACTGGGCATGTATTTCTACATGGCTTTAGCTGGCTGGAACTGATAGAAGCTGCTTCCTTTTGGATGGGGCAGCCCTCTCTAGTTTTCCACTGTTGCCATCCTTCCCTGTTGCCTTCCTGATGTGACTGGCTCACTTCATTCATTTGCAATACTTGCCCGAAGACTTGAGTTTACCACTCTCTTTAGCAGCACAAAAACACCAGAAACGTTGCCGTTTGGGTCTGTCCTTCCCCTCCACCTCTCAACCTCTCTTAGCTTCTATAAGTGGAAGAATTTATTCTTACATTGTTCCGATTTTAGATGGCAGCTGTGCTTCCTTCCACGGCTGCAGCCGTCATGAAAACACACCTCTCGGACCTCCAGTGGGGGAGCCTGATTGATAGATAAGCCATGCTTTCCAGGGTTTGCTCCCAGCCACAGGGGAGGCAGGTTTGTTCTTGGGAGACACAGGGCTCCTCAGGAGGCTCAAGCACAACCTGTTAGCCCTACATTTTCTTTTCTTTTCGAGACAAAGTGTCACTCTGTCATGCAGGCTGAAGTGCAGTGGCGCAGTCTCCGCTCACTGCAACCTCCGCCTCCCGGGTTCAAGCGATTCTTCTGCCTCAGCCTCCCAAGTAGCTGGGATTACAGGCGCCCACCATCACATCCAGCTATTTTTTTGTATTTTTAGTAGAGATGGGGTTTCGCCATGTTGGCCAGGCTGGTCTTGAACTTCTGATCTCAAATGATTCACCCGCCTCAGCCTCCCAAAGTGCTGGATTACAGGCATGAGCCACCACACCCGACCAGCCTTGAACTTTCTAAGAATGCACTGCAGCCCACACTCCCTTCTTTCCTCTGTCCCTTCCTCCCATTCTTCCTCCTTCTTTCTGTCCCTTTCTCCCAGCCCCCTCTGGCTCCCTCTTCATTTTACTCCCTGACACTTCCTCAATAAGTCTTTAGTATGTCTCATCACACCTTGGCTCTCACGGAGGACCTGCGCATAACAGATCTGGAAAAACCAAAAGGAAGAGAAAGAGGAGGCTTCCAGGCAGGTCAATAGCACTAGCAAAGGTATGGAGGTGGGAAGGCCCAGAGTGTGTTTGCAGCACCAGCAAGTAAGTTAGCTTGTCCTAAGAAGACATCAAATTCCCATGCTCTAGCTTATCAAAGAAAGTACTATGTGACCTTGGGTGAACTGACTCCTTCTGGAGCTCGATTTCACCGTCCGTGAATTCGGAATAATAACAGTACCCATTTTATAGGGTCTTTGTGGGGATTAAATAAAATTGTTATGAAAAAGTGTTTCAAACGGCATAAATTACCAACTACGGTTAGAGCTATTGTTACAAAAAATATATATATTTAAAACTGCCCCGTCTGCTGGGACTGATGTTTAGCCTCAAAGAAGGCAATACACGTACTATTTTCCTTTCCTGACACAGTTTATTTGTAGTCTTTACGACGCAGACATGAATCAGACCAGATCCTTGGAAGAGTGAAAGCAGGGGTGCAGGGCAGAAGAGTTCCCTTTCCCAGGCAAAATTCTGCTGATTAGCCTGCTAACGAGCAGTACCCTTTCTGCAGAAAGTAAAATTGCCTTGCCAAGAGATCCATTGTTCTCAGTTCTGATTTTTCTTTGCAGGACCAAGCATCTGTTTCCAATACCTGTGTTCTAACTGGGTTGGGACTTGACATTATCCTCACAACCCACAGTGGCCAGGGAAGAAAGCAGAGGCTTGGTGGAATGGGAGAGCTGCCCGCCTGTTCCTCCAAGATGCCATAGCCAGAGGGTTGGATGTTCTAATAGCCTGATGAACAGAGAGCCTGCACAGTAAGAAAAGTAAAAATAATAAGATAAAGCAACATTTTTGAATTCACATATGAGCCAGTCCTGCAGAGGTGCTTCAGATGCATTATCGCCTCATTTGATCCTCCCCTCAGCCATGCGTAGAAGGCCATCTCAGTTGGGAATGTCTTTGGCTGCAAGTAATAGAAAAATCTGACTCATGGTGTCTTAGCACAGACATGTGGTTAGCTCATTAAACGAGACGTCTATAGTTGGGTGGTTCCAAGGATGGTGATTCTGCAGCTCTGGTTTGGGGTCTGCAGTTTTCCTGGCCTCTCATAACACTACAAACCCCCACACCTCCACCAATCACATTCTCACACAACAGCCCCCAAAGCAAAACAGAAGGCAAATCAGAAGGAAACACTTTTTTTCTAGAAGCCCCCAACAGATGTCCGGAAGGTGCCACCTCCAGACAAATCACTAGCAAAGATGGATTTCCTGGACTGGCTCAGACCCATGGCAGGCCATTCTCTGGGAAGAGGGCCTGGCCACCACCCTACACACCTGCCAACTCCTGAACAAATCCAGGAAGAACCAGAGGCTCACATTCATCTCTCTTTGGTGTGTGAGCAGCTGCATCTCCCTCCCTGGGAGGATTTTGTCTATGAGTTGAGAAGGGAAGAGAATACTTGGGAGAGAAATTTGTACTGAGGTGATGCTGGTCTGCACTGAAGCCAGGGGTGGGGAGTAGAAGAGCTAATATTTATTGAGAACCTATTTTACACCAGACCCTGTGCTGGGTGATTTCTTTCTCTTGTCATTTAATTCAGTTCTCACAGCAGTCCCATGAAGAAGAAACTGTTCTTCCCATTTTTCAGATAAGAAAATCAAGACCAAGCCTGATCACAGTCAATGGAGAGGAGCTGAACTGGTGTAAGTACTAATTGCAGTTAACTTTCCCTGATACTCATGGTGTGACAGGCACTCACATAGGCGTGTCCCGTGGACTAGGTCGTTTGTTCCTTACCTCAACTCCATGAGGTTCCCTTTTCCCCATTCTGTCAATGAGGAACCCCAACTTGGAGAGGCGGTGCAGTCTGCCTGGGGTCACACAGCTGAGTATTAGCCAAGCCCGGCTATGAACCCCACTGTTAGCAGACAGCCCTGCAGAACTCCCCAAATTTGGAGAAAATCCTCCAGGCCCATTCTGCAGCCTTTTTGGGATTGCTGGCTTCGCTGGCAGATAAGCTGGAAAAATAAACAAGAGGTTCAGGAAACTCCTTTGCCTCTTGCTGTTCTGACTCTGCTGAGGCCACAGAGGGGTCATCTGGCTGCCTTGACAGCTGACATTAAGCAGGCAAATAAATGAATCTTGAAGATGATAGCAGGACATGTGAAGTACTGCCAAAAAACAACAAAAAAGCACCCTACCAAAAATCAAACAAAAAATCAGTAACAGGTTACGGCACTAATGTGGTGGGATGATTGCTTTAGACCAGGTGGTCAAATAGGCTTCTCTGCAGTGACAGCTGAGCAGAGGCAGAGGGACCGGGAAAGTGATGGAAAGAGTGGGCCGTGCATGTCTCCCAGGGACGAATGCTCTGAGCAGATGGAACAGCATGCACAGAGGCCCTGCAGTGGGACCTCTAGGGAAAGATGGGGAGATCAGCGTGGCTGGAGCAGAGTGGGTGAGGGTGAGAGTGGGGGGCATGAAGCCAGGGAGGTAAAGGTGAGAAGGGGTGAATCATGCTGGTTCTTGAAAGGTATTGTCAGGACTCTGGCTGATAAGGACAGAAGCCAGGAGAGCAGGGAGGAGCAAGAGCTTCTCCAGAGCTCTGCTGGGAAGATGGAGTGAAACGTGCCTAAGCTCACCCGGCACTGAATTGGTGGATACAGAACTAGAACCAGACCTCCTGGGTCTTAGCTTCAGGTTCAGCCCATGGCTTCATAAAACTGACATGTGCCAAGCACTCAGCAGTTTGCAATTCCTTTTATTGTCAATTCTTCACAACAGCCCCAGAGGTAAGCACAACTCTGCTAAGAAGGTGGGCTCAGAGAGGTTAAGCTAGCTGCCCAAGACTTCCCAGGGTGAGAATAGGGATGGTAGAGGCAGGGGCACAGAGCAAGGCTGGACTGATGCCCAGACATTCTAGCCTGGAGCTCCAGTTCTCATCAGCACCCTGGGGTGGTCCCCTGCAGAGACGCGGGCACAGGGGACTGGCGCCCCAAGCACCAGGTAGCAGTGACAAGGGCCACCACATCCGGAGGCCCTAACATGCTGGTGGAGGGCGCATGCTTCACGAGCATCATCTGTCCCCTAAGCAGGTGAGGATGAGGGGACTCCCTGAGGCTACCTTTTACCCCTGCCCAGTCTGCCCAGTAGTTACTGAAGATACTGTAGGGTGCGTTATAATCCAGCGCAGCCCTCCCAACCCAGACCACAGAATGGAAAGCTCCAGGTCTCCAGCACGCCTGGGCTGGGGGATGGGGTGAAGAAGGGTCTCGGGGGGTGCCCTCCGTCTAGGTGGAATGTGGAATGTGGTGGGAAAGCCCCTCCTGACCCCCACACTCCTCCCATGTTCATCCCCTTCTATCACATTTTCTCTTCCCCACACTGCCCCTTCCTCCCCATGCCTGCTTCACTATTTCCCCAGGGCCCCTCGGACTTCCCAGATTCCCTCCCCTCCCTTCCTCAAAGTCCCCTCCCATCTTTCCCACCCCTCTTCCCTCCCCACATACAATCCCTTCCTTCCTGCACATCCTGTCCTTCTCCCCTCCCCTCCATCACCCCCCAGCCCTCCACATCCCCTCCACCCCACTCCTCTCCCTCTGCCCTCCCCTCCCTCCCACATTTTCCGTCCCGGCAGGAGCGCGGGGGCGGTAAGGGGGGTTCTCCCAGAGAGCCCCGGGCGGGCGGACCCCTGTGGACCTCGGAGGGTTCCATCCCCCGCCATCCCGCCGCGAAGCTGGCCGGGTGGCCGGAGTGGGAGGGGCGCGGCGGGTGGGGGCGGGGAACTTTACCTGAGGGTGGGCCAGGCAGCCGGCCCCGCCAGCCCCGCCAGCCCCGCCAGCCCCGCCAGCCCCGCCAGCCCCGCCAGCGCCGCGATGTCCTGGGCTGCGCTCCTCGGCCTCCTGGCCGCGCTGCTGCTGCTGCTGCTGCTGAGCCGCCGCCGCACGCGGTGAGTGCCCCGCTCCGCCCGGCCTCGCTGGACAAAGGGGGCGGCTCCCGCCTGGGCTGCAGCCCTGGGGTTTCGGAGCCCGCGGCCGGCTTGGCCCGAGTCCAGCCGCAGGATCCCAAGCGGGGGAGACCCTCGGAGGTGGGAGTCCCGGGGCCCCGCACCCGGGGGAGGGGGCCAGGCCGCGTGCGGCCCCTGCCAAGAACGCGCAAGGTGGGAGGTGCGGGGACCGGTGGGTCTCAGGGAGCGGATCGCCCACCGCGACAAGTCCGGGTCTGGCCCTTAGCGAGACGGCAGGGACCTGGGAGGGGGTTTCAGGTGAGGACCGAGGGTCTGTGGGCGGGGAGCGGCGCGGGGACAGCCTCGGCGTGGCCCGGGTGGAGGAAACGCTTTCCACTCTGCAGCCTCTGTCAGCACTCGGCACCCGCCCACTCGCTGTCAAACCCGGCCTTGCTTTCGGCACCCTATAGGGGTAGCCTCGCTCCTCAACCCATTACACAGATGGGAGCGTTGAGCCCGCAGAGTGCAGAGCCCCTGGGGGATGTCCTTATCATGCCCTGGAACCATCTTCCCCGAAGAGGGGAGTCTGTGGGCTCAGAAATTTCATTTGTCAGGGAGAAACTGAGACGTGTGAAGGGTTCTACCTTCCCCTGAGGTCCCACGGCCTGGACAGAGCGAGCCAGGGCTGGATGTCACAGCCTCCTGGTCCTGAAGGTTTTCTGGCTCCATTGAGCAGCTGTGATTTAGAAGAAAAAGTAAAGACTCACTGCCTCAAATCAAGGAGATAGCTGTAGTTCTTCTTTTTATAAAATATTTTTAAAATTAATTTGAAAAGCACAAGGAATAGCTGAATGCATTCGACTTAAAACAAATATTCACCCTGTTAGAGGTAAGACGGAAGCCCCTTAGTCCTCCCCCAGCTCCTGACGTCTAGTCCTCTCCCCTTCTCTGGGCCTCTTCTGTTGCCCAGTCTGGGTGGAAACTTCCAGATTTAAAAATACATATACTTTTTATTTTAGACTAGTTTGGGATTTACAGAAAGTTGCAAATATAGTACAAAAATTCCTGTTTCGCTAACCCCGTTTTCCCCATTGTTAACATCTTACATCGTTATCGGACATTTGTCACGACTAAAAAACCAGCACTGGTCCATTACTCTTAACGAAACTTCAAACTTTATTGGGGATTTTATCAACTTTCCCATTGCTGTCCTCTTTTGTTCCAGGATCCGGCCCCAAGTTACCGCATTGCGTTTAATCTTCATATCTCCTCAGTCTCCCAGATGTTTTAAAAATTACTCTTACATCTATAGACATGAGCTTGTAGCTAATACAGAGCCACGTAAGAGAGAGAGAGTTAGTTTACGTTCGTGTCTGAAAATTCCGGAAACGTTGGGAACTTTTTGATTTTTAAACAATATGTTAGTTGAGTTTTCCCACAATAAGCTCACTGTATTTTTCTTCACCCTCCAGACACATTTTCAGCTGAAATTTACAACTATGTAATCAATCATTTGCCTTAAAAAAAGAAAAGAAAAACAGTGAATAAATGTCCCCATGAAGAAATGAATTATTTTTCCTGAGTTGTCACACTTTTTCAATATGCTGTATAGAAATGTTTTCAGACATTACGCTTGTTCTTTTCACTCCAGATTTGAGTTTAGTTTTTTGTTTGTTTGTTTGTTTGGAGACTTGCTCTGTTGCCCAGTCTGGAGTGCAGTGGCGCGATCTCGGCTCACTGCAACCTCTGCCTCTTGGGTTCAAGCGATTGTCCTGCCTCAGCCTCCCAAGTAGCTGGGACTACAGGGGCGTGCCACCATGCCCAGCTAATTTTTGTATTTTTTAGTACAGACAAGGTTTCACCTTATTGGCCAGGGTGGTCTTGATCTCTTGACCTCGTGATCTTCCCACCTCAGCCTCCCAAAGTGCTGGGATTACAGCTGTGAGCCATGGTGCCCGGTCCAGATTTTAGTTTTGACATCGTTCTTTTTTCTGTAAGATCTTTTTGCTACATGGAGATGAAATCCATTCTTTTGATCCTCTCTGGAGTCTTCCAGCATGTGAAGACGTTGTGGCTTCTTTTGTCCTTTTGATGGACTCCTAGGTTGTTTCCAGTGTTTCTGCTACTTCAGAGTGCTGCATTCTCACTTGGGCTAGAGTGCAGTGGCATGATCTCCTCTCACTGCAATTCTGCCTTTTAGGCTCCAGCGGTCCTCCTGCCTCACCCTCCCAAGTAGCTGGGACTACAGGCATGTGCCACCATGCCCAGCTAACTTTTGTATTGTTAGTACAAGGGAGGGTTTCCCCATGTTGGCCAGGCTGGTCTTGAGCTCCTGACCTGAAGTGATTTGCCCACCTCAGCCTCCCAAAGTTCTGGGATTACAGGTGTGTCCTTCTGGCCTTCTCCCTTCCCCTCCGTTACCCCCCAGCCCTCCACATCTCCCTCCACCCCCGTACCTATCTCCATGCCCAGCCTGGCATTCTAGACATATGAAAATTCCCAACCTATGGAAATATGGTCAAGTTGAATAACTGTTGTCTGCCTCAGTTTCCCTATCTTTAAAATCTCCATTTTAAAGATTGGGAAACTGAGGCAGAGACAGTTTTTAAATTATTTTGGCTAGTTCTTGCTGACTGTCAATCTGGAGAGCAAATTTATCTTTGGGGGTGAGCCTTTTTTTGAGACGGAGTTTCGCTCTTGTTGCCCAAGCTGGAGTGCAATGGTGCGACCTCGGCTCACTGCAACCTCTGTCTCCTGGGTTCAACTGATTCTCCTGCTTCAGCCTCCTGAGTAACTGGGATTATAAGTGCATGCCACCATGTCCGGCTAATTTTTTGTATTTTTAGTAGGAATGGGGTTTCACCATGTTAGCCAGGCTGGTCTCAAACTTCTGATCTCAGGTGATCCACCTGCCTCGGCCTCCCAAAGTGCTGGGATTACAGGTGTGAGCCACTGTGCCTGGCTAAGCCTTTGACTTCTAAGGTACCTGTGGGCACCTTGGAAGGGTCAACAGTGGGCAGTGGGGAGAAGTGTGGGAATGAGGGTCACTGGCAGCTTGAGGGCAGGTGCATGGACCCTGGGAACCCCAGTGTAGATCCCTAATCTCAACCTCTTTCCAGCTTAGCTAGGGACACTCTGGCTATCTCCATTTTACAGAGGAGGAAACAGGCTCAGAAAGGTTAAGCAACTTGCTCCAGGCCTGTCTGGATTAAAATTCTGGGCTGCAAGAATTTTTAGCTTTTATTTTGAGAGAGAGAATTTCACACTGTCGCCCAGGCTGGAGTACAGTGGACAATTATAGCTTACTTGAGCCTTGAACTCCTGGGCTCAAGTGATCCTCTCAACTTAGTCTCCTGAGTAGCTAGGACTACACGTGTGCGCCACCATGCCCAGTTAATTTTAAAATATTTTGTAGAGATGGGGTCTTGCTGTGTGGTCCAGGATGGCCTCAAACTCCTGAGCTCAAGTGATCCTCCCACCACAGCCTCCCAAAGTGCCGGAATTACAGGTGTGAGCCACTGCGCCTGGTCTTGCCAGAATTTGTAATTCACGAGAAGAATGAATTCTCACTTTCCACACATTATACTGGTAATCCGAACACTCAAAAGTCTTAGAACCGTGTGACCTTAAGATAATAAGAGATGCAACTGCAAGCAAAAGATTCTTAAAGAAGGACAAATGAATGAAACAAGTGAGTGACCCTCATGCTGCGTGAACCGTCTTCTAGTTTGGGCTGAAATAAGCAAGGCTCTCCAGCTTCCTTGTCTTATTTCTTTATCCTGACCAAGCCTTAAGGTAATTTCCATCACTCTTATACAGCTGAGGTTTAAAATGATGAAGTGACTTTCCCAAGGTCACACAAAAATTACATTTCACATCTAGGTAGCTCCAAAATTCATGCTTATCCCAGTAAGAAACCACTACTTCTGGGAGTGAGCAACTCAGTCTTTACCTCTGGAATTTAATTTAAAACTTTTAAATTAGGAGGCATTTCAACTATACAGAAAAAGAAAAAGAGTACTGTAAGAACCCCTATGTACCCATACCTTGATTTGACAGTCATTAACATTGTTTAAAAAATGAGAGATGGCATATTTCACCCTTGAATAGTTTAGAATGCATTTCAAAATGACAACCACAATTCCATTTTCTTGCCTGAGAATATAAAAAGATAATTCTTAATATCATCTAGTTCCCAGTTCAAATTCAAAGTTCTGCAATTACAGCAAGAAGTGTCAAGCCTCATTCAGTAAACATGAGGGTGGTGAGCTGAGAGTTAGGAGTCTCGCTTGTGTGCTCATTGAGGCTAACTGATTTGCCTTGTGAGTATCAGAAACATTCTTCTTGCTTCCAGGCCTCAGTTTATCTGTCCTTTGAGGTGGCCCACGGAAGTAGTCTCTTAAGCCCCAGCCACATCACCAGACCACTGCATCTCTTTCTTTGGGCTTGTGTGACCACCACAAGGAGCATTGAGGGAGATCTCTTGGTTGGGAGGCCCCTTTTCTGGGGGTCCAGAGGGAATAGTGGCATCAGGGAGTGTCCCTGTGGCCCAGCGGCTGGTCTGAGCCCCTGCAGGATGCAGAATTTCTAGGCACAAATAAGTCTGCCTCATTCTAACGTGCACCAACCAGAGGTCACCCAACAGTGGTCTGTGACTGGATGCACCCTGGTTGGCTGGGTTTGTGCTGTGTGGGACAAGGGAAGAAAATTGGGGGATTCTATACCCAAAAATCTAGATTTCCAACTTCTTGTGAAAAATGAGAAGATCTAGCAACACTTTCCTGGCACTCAGTGGTAGCGCCCTCTCTAAACCTTGCCACAGTCCCCTCTCCTCCCTATTGCCTCTCCAACATGCAGCTACTCTAGTTACCACTGGACTTTGTCTGCTGTTTTTTTCTTATGTTGAGAAATAATTCTGTGAATTTGTCTATTTCAAAAACCAAAAAACAAAAACTAGGGCAAGGCCATGTGCTTTTTCTGCACAGTGTTAGCAGCGGGGGGCA